CTTATCTTGACAACATACAGTATAACCTATGTATTTATAGGAATTGGGACATGAGGTGACATTCCTGAATAAAGAATAATCAAAATGAGGGTTGGAAGTGGAACGATAATATTTATAACAGGAACAACATACAAGAGTCGCCTGTGGTGTGTAGTAAGTAATCAACTGCTAGTGGTGAGCTAGAAGTGAATCAAGGTGAATTACAAGTGGAAGACAACATACAGTATATACCTATGTATTTATAGGAATTGGGACATGATTGGCAAAAATAGCCAAATATGGGGTGCACAGCATTCCTGATCTGCTCTTATCTTGTAACCTAGGGAAAGGTGACTGAATAAGAATAATCAAAAAGAGGGTTGGAAGTGGAACGATAATATTTATAACAGGAACAACATACAAGAGTCGCCTGTGGTGTGTGGTAATCAACTGCTAGTGGTAGCTAGAAGTGAATCAACTGGAGCTAGTGGTGAGCCTAGAAATAATGAATCAATTTATAACAGGAACAACATACAAATTTCAAGTGGAAGACAACATACAGTATATACCTATGTATTTATAGGAATTGGGACATGATTGGCAAAATAGCTAAATATGGGGTGCACAGCATTCCTGATCTGCTCTTATCTTGTAACCTAGGGAAAGGTGACTGAATAAGAATAATCAAAAGAGGGTTGGAAGTGGAGCGATAATATTTATAACAGGAACAACATACAAGAGTCGCCTGGTGTGTAGTAAGTAATCAACTGCTAGTGGTGAGCTAGAAGTGAATCAAGGTGAATTCAAGTGGAAGACAACATACAGTATACCCAATGTATTTATAGGAATTGGGACATGATTGGCAAAATAGCCAAATATGGGGTGCACAGCATTCCTGATCTGCTCTTATCTTGTAACCTAGGAAAGGTGACTGAATAAGAATAATCAAAATGAAGGTTGGAAGTGGAACGATAATATTTATAACAGGAACAACATACAAGATTCACCAGTAGTGTGTAGTAAGTAATCAACTGCTAGTGGTGAGCTAGAAGTGAATCAAGGTGAATTGCAAGTGGAAGACAACATACAGTATATACCTATGTATTTATAGGAATTGGGACATGATTGGCAAAATAGCCAAATATGGGGTGCACAGCATTCTGATCTGCTCTTATCTTGTAACCTAGGGAAAGGTGACTGAATAAGAATAATCAAAATGAAGGTTGGAAGTGGAACGATAATATTTATAACAGGAACAACATACAAGATTCACCAGTAGTGTGTAGTAAGTAATCAACTGCTAGTGGTGAGCTAGAAAGAATCAAGGTGAATTGCAAGTGGAAGACAACATACAGTATATACCTATGTATTTATAGGAATTGGGACATGATTGGCAAAATAGCCAAATATGGGTGCACAGCATTTCCTGATCTGCTCTTATCTTGTAACCTAGGGAAAGGTGACTGAATAAGAATAATCAAAATGAAGGTTGGAAGTGGAACGATAATATTTATAACAGGAACAACATACAAGATTCACCAGTAGTGTGTAGTAAGTAATCAACTGCTAGTGGTGAGCTAGAAGTGAATCAAGGTGAATTGCAAGTGGAAGACAACATACAGTATATACCTATGTATTTATAGGAATTGGGACATGATTGGCAAAATAGCCAAATATGGGGTGCACAGCATTCCTGATCTGCTCTTATCTTGTAACCTAGGGAAAGGTGACTGAATAAGAATAATCAAAATGAAGGTTGGAAGTGGAACGATAATATTTATAACAGGAACAACATACAAGATTCACCAGTAGTGTGTAGTAAGTAATCAACTGCTAGTGGTGAGCTAGAAGCGAATCAAGGTGAATTGCAAGTGGAAGACAACATACAGTATATACCTATGTATTTATAGGAATTGGGACATGATTGGCAAAATAGCCAAATATGGGGTGCACAGCATTCCTGATCTGCTCTTATCTTGTAACCTAGGGAAAGGTGACTGAATAAGAATAATCAAAATGAGGGTTGGAAGTGGAACGATAATATTTATAACAGGAACAACATACAAGATTCACCAGTAGTGTGTAGTAAGTAATCAACTGCTAGTGGTGAGCTGCAAGTGAATCCTGCAGTGAATCCAAATGACTATCACATACTGTATTTATACGGATTGAGACATACACATTATAGTCCATAGGTATGGTATAACAAATATAATGACTGAAAAGAAAGAAAACAAAACAAAACTTACATAAAATATAACTGGAGAAAATAATTATATATACAAGGGTAAGTAAAAAAAATTATCTGCACCTTTGCCATAACATATCTTTTTATATATGAGTGCAGGTAAATTTTGACTTTACCTGATGAGTGTATATGCTGGATTCTCCTGTTGTTTTTTTTTTTTTTCTTCCGACGTATGAATGTGAAGCAACTCAGATACTAGAAACTGACAGCCAGACACCTACACATATGACTTTATTACAGTGGTGAAGGTTTTGTGCAGAACCAACCACACTTTTTTGAAGGGCCGAATACAGAGACTTGGTGCACCATGTGCCACAAGGTCCTCAAACAACCCTCCGCAGGTTTTGATTAATAGTTGTCCGTCTCCTAGATCAGTTGCCATCCAAGGCTATAGAACCCAGCTTGTCCTGCTATTTACTCATAGCTGGTGGGGAGAAGAAGAGGATTCATACCTTTCCCAAGATTATTAGCACGTAAGTGAATGTAATGGATTCAACTGGAATTTAAACTCAGCTCTCTGATTCCTCAATCCAAGCCGCTGTCCATTACTCCACTGTGTTTCCTCGTGCGTGCGTGCGTGCGTGCGTGCACATATATATATATAAAGTGAACACTAAGGTCAGCACCAATTGGCGACAGTCTGTTTCATGCTTGTACACAATCTTCAGGCCAGGTTCTTTGCTCAACCATTTACATTACCTACACACATATAATGACTGAAAAGAAGGAAAAATCATACACAAAGGTAAAACTAATGAAAAATATAAATGCAGAAAATAATTATATATATGAAGTTAAGTCAAAAATTATCCACACTTTTGACATAACATCTTTAAGCAATAGTGTGGATAATTTTTGACTTACCCTTATGTGTGTGTGTGTGTGTGTATATATATATATATATATAAAAGAAGAGAGAAACTGCAAACGTTTTTGGTTGTTATGTAGATTTTTAAAAAAATATATATTATGCTTTATTTTACATAATTTTGCAACACATGTTTCAGGTCTCGTAACCTCCTTCAGGCAAAGAGTAGATATTTCCACTTTATTAAAATGAATTTTCTTTATGTTTTTCAATGTTAAACATTCTCTTTTTTGCGCGGTAGTGACACAAATCTCATTCTTGGAGAGAAAGACATTTGTGTCACTACCACACAAGACATCTGAGAGAATGTTTAACATCAAAAAACATAAGGAAAATTCATTTTAATAATATGTGGAAATGTCCCCTCTTTGCCTGAAGAAGGTTGCAAGACCTGAAACACATGTTGCAAAATTATGGAAAATAAAGCATAATATATACTTTTAAAAAAAATCCACATTACAACCAAAAACATTTGCGGTTTTTCTCTTCTTTTTAAAATATACACTTTTGTCTCATTGGAACAACTATAACCTCTTCCCTATATGTGTGTGTATATATATATATATATATATATATATATATATAAGTGGACATTGAGGTCAGCACCAAGTGGTAACAGTCTGTTTCATGTTTTAACACAAGCTTCAGGCTATGTGTGTTGTATTTTTTGCTCAACTATTTATATATATTGGTTAATGGTGCATTGTGGGTAGTAAGGTCTATTGTATTATCCTAATGGTTATTGGGTAGGTGGTAATGGTTATGCATCAAATTATTCTAGAGGCTACTGAGTAGGAATAATTGTACACCTGAATGTGGTTATTTGTAGCTATTTTTTAGTGTTGTTTGTTAACTTTCTAATCATTATTTATTAATTATCTGTTGTCGATTATTATTCCATATACATGTTTTTTTATGTGTGCAATCGCAATTTGTTAATTTGTTTATTATTTAATCTGTTTATTTATTTATTCAGTTTTTTTTGTTGATTTTATTTATTTATTTTGTATTCATATAAGATTCTTCTGGATATAAAGTGGAGGATTAATTTTCTGTTGTTAAGAAATAAATTGATATCCCTAGGGTTGCTAATATTTGAAAAAATATACAGAAAAACTTACATGTGAAAAACTTTGTCATCAATTTTGACAAGTGGGTAAACTCATATTCATATAAGATTCTACTGGGCATAAATTGGGGGATCGATTTTCTATTGTTATTAAATAATAAACTGAGCCCCCTACAATTACTACATATAAATATAATATTGATATTAATATCACTAATATCTTCATCTTTGTTATTATAGCAACATTTTGGCCATTGTAGCCTCTAGTATTCTTTGAAATATAATAATTGAAAAGATTTTTTTTAAAGACTCAGATGTGAAAGCCTTCTCTTAAAAGTAAAGACATTTTTTTTAAAATCATTTCACCCCAAGCAAGGCAATAATAAAGCCGCTAAGATGCAAGTGGTTACTGAGTGTTAAAGAATATGAAAAAAAAAACACTATTAAGGAAAGAGAACAACAAAAGACAGATAATTGACATTGCATTTAAATTTTTGAAGACCAAAGTTGACTGGGAACCAAGAAGCCAAAGAAAAGTTCCACAAGCAAGAAGTGCGAGAGAAGAAACTATTAGCATAGAACCTACAGTTACATCTAGCAAATTCAACTTTGAAATAATGAGGCCTTGCTGACAATCTAATACTGTGCTTAAATTCATAATAAAATATGTCATCATTTTTGATGGCATGGGTAGACCAGAATGAATTCAAACCAAAGATAATCACTAATAGAATTTGTGTGTGTGTGTGTGTGTGTGTGTAGGGGGGTGGGAGGATCTTGATAAACATATTAAACCAAAAATCGAATGATAAGAATGAAAATCCCAAGACAATTACCTTTGTTTGATAGCTCGTGCAGCTGTTCTCCAAGGTATTCCTCTACTAGGCTGGGTGATTTCAGTAGGGTTAGATCCTACTTTGCCCCGCTGGCTACTGCTGGACCGTGAAGTTTTAAGATGATAACGCATTCCATTGATCTAGAAAGTAGAGAAAAGAACAGATTTAATTTGAATTGTCATTCTAAACAAAAGGCCCCCAAAAAAAGGTTTATTTTGTAAAGACTCCTATCGACAGGTCTTCTCTTCTATTTAACCCATAGCTGGGGGGGGATTCATGAAGAGATGACCTCATGCCTTCCCCAAGGTTATTTGAACATAAAATGAATGCAACAAACTCAACAGGAATTCAAACATAGCTCTCTGATTTCTCCTTTCCAAGCCACTATCTGTTATACCACCAGCACATCAAAAATGTGTACCCATTAAAAGTACTGTTTACAACAGGTCCACACAATTAATTGAAAGCAAAAAGAAATTGTTTATCTTGGAGAGACTTTTCTCTATGGAACAATGAAAAAAAAATTTGCCTCACAGACCAACACTTCATGAGTTTAATCACATCTGAATAACCAACACTTATGATCATGTCATATCTGTAGACTGTTCACCTTACTCTCTAATAAGTTTGATCCTCACTGAGTGCTCCACATTTGTGCTTTTCTATGAGGCTCATCTAAGCTTAGTAAATGTGCTTTGTCAGTGTTTAGCAACTTAATGGTGGTATTATGGTTAACAGCTCAGAGGGAGAATTTAGATAGCCAAATTACAGTCAAGTCGTATTTACATGCAAATACCTTTAAGAAAAGTATGAATCCATCTCTTCCAGTCCCACCAGCTATGGATTGAATAGCAGGATATACTGGATCTTATAATCTTGGTTGGCAACCAGTCTACAACAGAATGGTAGCCTACTGTGGGAATTATTCTTCTAAGACAATCATGATTCAAAAAGAGACATGATTAGTGAAGCATGCATCACACATGGCATTTTTCACCCTTTAGCATTGAACACACCCAAACAATGATCAACCTGCCATCAGCCATCCTATACCATATACTCTGCCATAATACATGACAACATCATTGCAAATAATGCAGAAGTCATGCAAACTGAGAATTTGACTGCAAACTGTGAGACTTTGAGAGTTGATATTTATGAGGGCAGGTTTATCCATGTTAAAGGATTAAAGTAAATATTGGCTCTCAATGTTCAAACCACCATAACTTGTCCCATGTTTATTCTGCCATAATAATGCAGAAAGTCACACAAACAGTGAGACTTTGTGAGCTGATATTTACAGGGTGAGCTTGAGCATGTTGAATGCTAAAGGATTAATGAAAGATTTAGATTTTAACACACCAATTCCACAAGTCATTTTGCACCGAATCAGGGAGTTTTAAGATTTGTGTCTATTTTGCTAACAAATTCTTTCATGTCATTATTATAGAAGCATGGGGATGTAATTAAGTTTTAGTTGAATTTTATAGCCAGGTTAATGAAGAAAGTGGGTTCAATTGCACTTAGTATCCAAGGCACCTCATCATGGATGCTTTTTTTTAAGACTAGATTTCACTCAATGTAATGCTCTATTAATACACAGAAAAATAACATTGTTGGATTATTTGCTTAGTTTATTTCATGCATTTCAGCGAGATTTTCAAAATTGCTGTTTTTTTATAATAAAAATATAACAGTTAATATATATTATATAGGTATATAACACAGTTATACTATACAAAATTAGGTATATTGTAAGTATCATACCAGTATTATAATAACGGTTTCATTAAATTTGAATTCATTAAAATCATTTTCATAATTTTTATTATAATACATTTATTATAATTCTTATTTTTTAATAAATAATAATAAATGTTTTGCTGATAAAGAGGAGTGCATGAATGACAGGGAGGGGGTAAGCAGTTTGAGAGATTGATATCTTTATTATTGATATATTTGTATAATCAATACAATACGTTTTGTGCAGAGGTTCTGTTTTTCATTGCTGTATAACAAATTTTGCATGTGATAAAACATTACCATCCCCAAAGAGGATTAATGGTAAAGTTTTTATTTATAGGGATTTATGAAGAATCATTTTTTTTTTTTTTACAGAGGAGGATAATGACTGATTTAAATCTCTTGAGGAAGGCAAAAGAGAAAAGATTATAATTCATTAAAATCATTTTTAATATCTTTATTTTCATAATTATCATTATAATATATTTATTATGATTCTTATTTTTTAATAAATAATAATAAATGTTTTGCCAGTAAAGGGGAGTGTGAGAATGATGGAGGGGAGTAAGCAGTTTAAACATTTGAAGGATTGATACATTTGTATAATCACTACAGTAATTTTTGGGTGAACGTTTTGTTTTTCATTAATGTATGCCTGCTTTTGTCCCACCCCACTGGAAACAGATAATTGTGGTGTGGGTTTGAGGTGTGAAATGTGTTAGAACAAAAATAAAAATTAAATCTTATGCATTCTTTCAACCAACTCTGATAAATTCAAAGTGAATTTGGGAATTTTTGAATTGGGAGTTTTATGGTTAAACTTGCTTCAATTCTTGAAAAGATATTTATAAATACATCCTTTTAATTTGCTAGTAGAAATTTGACAGCATAATTCTCAACATCATCATATAAACCGATTCTAATCAAGAGTTGTTGCTAACAAAATGTCCATTTGTGGCTAATGGAAAGCATTAATAATAATATATGACTATTCATTATATTTCAATAGACAGAATTCATTTCTTGCAAAAGACATATCTCTCGTAATTCTTCTCATCTTTGGAAAGAAAATCTGCACTGATCACAATGGTTTCTCCAAGTTTAATCATCCTTCTTCTTGAATTTCACTCTTATTTCATAAACAGAATTAAAAAGTTGCCTCTGGAAGGGAAATATTTCAGGAATAAAGAGAGACAAAATAATTCACTTAAAAAAAATAACAGCTTACGGCCACTTTGCATTGAAATACTGGTTCATGTACAATCACCGAAGGTAAGCAACATTGTGCTTGCTCAGAACCTAGACGTGTGACTGCTTGGAAATACCAGTTGCAATAGCTTTGGTTATGCAGGGGCTGTAATGGATAATGGCTCAGAAATAAGAAATCAGAGAGATGAGTTCAGATTCCAATTCAGTTCATTGAATTCACTTATGCAAAAATACTCTTGGGAAAGGTATGAATCCACTTATTCCCCAGCTATGGGTTAATTAGTAAGGCTTGTCTTTTCTTTATGTACCTCATCCCTTCAGGGTGTAAGCGATCATAGCCCTCCACATCTTCCTGTCCCTTGTAGCTCTTAATAAATTTTACCTTTTTGCTATTTCTCCCAAACCCTGTTCTACCATTCATTTAATCAAACACACAAAAAAAATTGTGTACAAAATATTTAGATTTTGGTATTAAATAACCCATGTTATGCTGCTAAACAGTCAGGTAAATGTCATATATAATACACGTTTGGGCAATCATGTCTCTCCACAACTTCCTCACTTATTATTGACTCTTTTAGTTAAGTACCATACATGATACACATTTGAGCAATCATGTGTCTTTCAAAACATGACTGATTGGTTGCCATTTCTTTCTGCAGTAGACTGGCTGCCAACCAAGACTAAAGAATCGAGACTATACTGCTATTCAACCCATAGCTGGTGGGTGGCAAAGAGATGGATTAATACCTTTCCCAAGGGAATTTGTGCTTAAGTGAATATAACGAACTTGACTGGAATTTGAACTCAGCTCCCTGATTTCTAATTCTAACCCATTAACCATTACACCACAATGCACATCCTAAACAAAATCAACCAAATTAAAAAAAAAAAACAAAAACAAAGATAACAAACAAAAATTTGTAAATCCTTGGGAGGGGGAGGAAGGGGCAGTGTAGAAATCTATTCCAAAAATCAGAAACATAGACAAGTTTTCAGCTAATTCTGAGTAAGGATTACAGGCATGAGAATTGAATTTTTGAACCCAACCCTTTATTCAATTTACAGAAGTAAATTGTTCTTCTACTTTCCATGCTTAGGGAATATCTCCTATCAGTCAATACTCAATAGTCTTTGTTTTGTTTGGTCATTTCTTCTACTGAATCAGAATATGTAGCTTTTCATCACTATTCAACCTTGGGATTGAACACACAACCAGAACCAGAAATATTCTAACTAATGATCAGATAGTATTTATCTTTACACTAGGTCTACTGTGGAGGTTGTCATTGCTTAATGTCTGTACTAACTCTTTCAGTTGTCATATCCTATAATGTTATTCTCTGTTATCTTGACTTCATTTGATAGGTGTTGATGACAGCCCTTCTCACTTCATATACCTGATTTCAATGTCTCTCCCCAAAACACAGTTTTTTCAATGTTCCACTTGGCTGGTCTCTCCCTTGAATTACTTGATACAACTGTATGGGACGAAATACACACAGTTCTTGGTTATGTCCTGTTTGGAGGAGGCTTGTTTTGGCAGAGTGTGTAAAACCACAATGAAGACCTCACTCAGCTTTACACTGTCTAATAGCTACCCCACGATGCTTCTCCATTCTTGCTCATGATGGTGTGAACCAAAAATTGAGAAAGGGGTGCTGTAAGCTCACAAGGAAATGAAAGATGAAAACATGGAAAGAAATTGGGACTTAAACCCCGTTTTCAACATATTTAGGTATTTATTCAGAGCTTCATTTGTTCACCCTGGGTGGGGAGGTAAGTGACACTTGAGACAACCTCTGCCATATCAGTTTAACAACTCAGCTCTTCCCTCCTGTCAACTCTTTGCCCACCTACAAATTATATCATGAGGCTGGCAACATGAACAGGTGGAATCAGAACTACCCAAGGGATAATCTGTCCCCACCACCAAAGGAGGAACAGAACTGACATCCTCCATCCCAAATGTAATTGTTAATATAGACCAGCAACTGGAAATCATCAATGTTCGGTTTTGTTGTCACTTGATCCCAAATACTTTCTTTTCCTTGTTTGTTTTCCTTTGGTCAATTGGGTGCCATTAGAAGAAAAGGGATAAAGACTAGGGATTAAGATGAAATCACACCTTCAATATCCCAATCATAATGTCACAGAGATCTCTTCAAACTACTTTTGAATACAATCCTAAAGTTGTATGGATTGCAGACCCTCTGAATTAAATGTACACATTAAAAAAACACATTATGAGTAGAACAACCAAGAAGAGCAGACTAGTCCAAATGGAAAGGCATTTTAGAACCAAGTTTGACATTACATTAAAAAGGATTCATAGAGAAATTAATTTTGTATTTTATTTAGTCTGCCAGCAAAAATGTGTATTCTTCTATGATCTGTCAAGAAACCATTTCAAGCATTTTAGAACCTATTTTTGAAAGTCAGCTTAATAACGTTTCCAAAATAGAATCAGAAATTGTCCAAAGTTCTGAAAAGATATTTTTACCCTTGATTGTCCTTCAAACACAGCCTCTGTTTGTATTCAAGCAATCACGACTAAAAATATACACATCTAGTAATAAACAAGTTTTATCATTTATTTCTGTTCGTGATTGTTTGTCCGAGGTCAATTCTCACAATTATATTTATTTCATGACAGCATTCTCTTACTATTTTCAGATTTCTTTACGATGCACATCCATGGATTTTAGGAGCCATCTTTAATAAGTAGCCAGATTATGACAGATAGAAATCAAACTTTAAGATTCTTTAATAACAACAGAAACAAATACAAAAACAACAAAAGTGATTATCAGTGATAATAAAGACAATTGCTTTTTTTATGACTTTCAGTTGTCAATGACAAAAGCACATGCCAAATGAAAAGACCAATTCTTTCTTGGTGGGTATTAGATTAAGATTACCTTGTGCCACAGATATATTCAGTGAACCAAAAAAAGATAATATATTAATAAACATTTTCATATGTACCATTGTACAGCATGTTTAATTCTTATTCTTGACAAAGAAAAATTCAGTATGTAGATTGTAAATTTGTAAGAAATTTGATGCCTGGACCAATATAATAGGGCTTTTAAAGTTACAATATAAATGCATTGCTAATGAGAAAGAAAGGGATTGTCAGTGGTCAGGAATGAATGCAAGCATTACTGATAGAATAGGGCTATTATGTGTATAATGGAAATTCATTGCTAACAATTTTACTATAGGAATGCATTCCAAATAAGAAAGAAAGGGATTGTCAGTGGTCAGGAAATGCAAGCATTACTGATAGAATAGGGCTTTATATGTATAATAAATGCATGTTGGCTAATGATTTTTACTATAGGAATGCATTGCAAATGAGAAATTAAGGGATTGTCAGTGGTCAGGAATAAAGCATGCATTACTGATAGAATAGGATTATTATATGTATAATGTAAATGCATTGCTAATGATTTTACTATAGGAATGCATTGCAAATGAGGAAGAAAATGGTCAGGAATGAATGCAAGCATTACTGATAGAATAGGGATATTATATGTATAATGGAAATGCATTACTAATGATTTTACTATAGGAAATGCATTGCAAATGAGGAAGAAAGGGATTGCAGTGGTCAGGAATGAATGCAGCATTACTGATAGAATAGGGCTATGGCACGGAAATATATGTATAATGGAAATGTATATAGGAATGCATTGCAAATGAGGATGGTCAGGAATGAATGTAAGCATTACTGATAGAATAGGGATATTATAATAATGAAATGAAATGATTTTAAAGGGATGCAAATGAGGAAGAAAGGGATTGTCAGTGGTCAGGGTCTGATAGAATAGGGCTATTATAATGAATGATTTTACTATGGAATGCATTGCAAATGAGGAAGAATAGGCATTACTGATAGAATGGGTATGTATAATGGAAATGCATTGCTAATGATTTTACTATAGGAATGCATTGCAAATGAGGAAGAAAGGGGATTGTCAGTGGTCAGGAATGAATGCAATCATTACTGATAGAATAGGGATATTAATGTATAATGAAAATGCATTGCATTTTACTAGGATTAGAAAAAGGGATTGCAGTGGTCAGGAAATGAATATTACTGATAGAATAGGGCTATTATATGTATAATGGAAATGTATTGCTAATGATTTTACTATAGGAATGCATTGCAAATGAGGAAGAAAGGGATTGTCAGTGGTCAGGAATGAATGTAAGCATTACTGATAGAATAGGATATTATATGTATAATGAAAATGCATTTAATGATTTTACTATAGGAATGCATTGCAAATGAGGAAGAAAGGGATTGTCAGTGGTCAGGAATGAATGCAAGCATTACTGATAGAATAGGGATATTATATGTATAATGGAAATGTATTGCTAATGATTTTACTATAGGAATGCATTGCAAATGAGGAAGAAAGGGATTGTCAGTGGTCAGGAATGAATGCAACATTACTGATAGAATAGGGATATTATATGTATAATGGAAATGTATTTAATGATTTTACTATAGGAATGCATTGCAAATGAGGAAGAAAAGGGATTGTCAGTGGTCAGGAATGAATGTAAGCATTACTGATAGAATAGGGATATTATATGTATAATGGAAATGTATTGCTAATGATTTTACTATAGGAATGCATTGCAAATGAGGAAGAAAGGGATTGTCAGTGGTCAGGAATGAATGCAACATTACTGATAGAATAGGGATATTTATGTATAATGGAAATGTATTGCTAATGATTTTACTATAGGAATGAAATGAGGAAGAAAGGGATTGTCAGTGGTCAGGAATGAATGCAAGCATTACTGATAGAATAGGGATATTATATGTATAATGGAAATGTATTGCTAATGATTTTAATATAGGAATGCATTGCAAATGAGAAATTAAAGGATTGTGTGTGGTCAGGAATGAATGTGTTCATTATGTTCAGCTCATCTTAACACCATAACCATGATTTGCTATGAGAATTTCATTTCACAATAAATTTGACACAAGGCCATAGTATCCATCCAGACCTATGATAGTTTCATTTATAAATTAGGCACAATGAAAGATTAACAATAAAATAGTACACTTATTTGAATATTGTTCTTTTTTTCTATTTTTTTTCACTCTCAGAAACCACTTGCATCATAGTGGCTTTTATTGTCTTGATTAATGTGAAATGATTAACATTATATAATTAATATAAGTAAAATGTTTGTCATTTAGCTGATGGATCTTACCTTCAGCATCCTGACTGCAATGTTTCAGAGACACACCCACCTGTCCAATCATCAGCAATTGACTACTTATACTTTTCTAGATGCATTTATCATTGGTACAAGTTGTGCTTTAGTGTTGGCTGTTGTGATTATTTGTCCCTTTCATCAATTACGTATATTTTAACAATAAAACTTCAACACGATACTCCATGCCATTATGTCGGAGTGTTAGTCTGGGTGTTGTAGGCAAACATATTCTGGCAGATGTTCCTCAGCTCTATTGTATTGATATCAGTCAGCGGATATCTTATTAAATAGAAAAAAATTGAACCTGTCACAAAAATGGATTTGGACTTTATTTTCTCAAGATGGTTACCAGTAAGTGAAGTTTACAAATACAGGGCAAGTGGCCCAGATAGGAAGTTGCTGAGTGAAGTTGAATTGCTTTTCTAGACAAAGAACAATGCCCTCTACACAACAATGGCCACTGGCTGCAAAAAGTCAGAGAAGCTACAAGTGACCACTGAAGACAACAGACAGCCATTATCTTGTTCACTTCCCCCCTTATCTACACCACATCGCAGCATCACTTGTTTGTAGCAGTAGGTTACAGCCAAGAATAAAATTTGGTTTACTGCAAGAAATTGTCATGGTTTTCATTTGTAGGTAATGATCTGTCCAAAGGGTTATTTTTAAGCCACAAATGTTTGACTGGAAAAAGCTGCACCCTGTCAACTAACCTGGTATCTGGTCTGAGCAGCAATGCTCACACCTAAAGTGTCATTTGCATGAAGGCAAACCCTGCTCTTATCAGTGAACAGTACTGAGTGACATTCAGTCTTCCAGCAAGGACTTTCTTGTAATACCTTTTCAGATGTGCAACATGATGATGTAGCATAAGTTCAAGTCTGTTTATAGGTGTCCATAAACATGCTATAATTAAAGGATTTGCAATGGTCCATGTTGACATTCCTATTTCTTTTGATCTGTGCTGTAGAAAGACACAAACAGTATGTACACTGGTAAAAGTGTTACCAAGTTATAAGATGGTAGAAAACTTTGAAAATTTTTATTAGTATATCTCCTAATGACAGGCAGAGACACATGTTTTACTCAAGTTAAAATCAGCATTGTCTCTGAAGGTGTTGAAACCTGAATTTCCATCAATGTCATCTGCTTTGACAAGGTTGTATTTGTAAATTTCTGAAAATTATCCGGGTATTTCATTTTGTCATTTTGACTGGGGATAAAAAGAAAAGGCAGTAGAATTTCTTCTTGGGTGCTTCAGCAAAGAGAAAGAATTGAAACTTGATTCCAAAAGCTACAATTCTTTGTATTCAAAGTTAAATACAGACTGAATATATAACAAAGAATGCAAGACCGCAATAAATAATAGTAACAGAAAAAACCTTAGATGCTACTATAGTATATCTACCAACCATTTTCTACTATAATATGATATTTACCAACTGTTGGAAGTATGAAATATGTTAGGGTTAAAGGCAATGAAATAGTTATGTATTAAAAATCATAATTTTTTATACAAAAAATTAAAAAATCATCCGATAGTGATTTTAATGTTTGTAAACTGATTTGATGTCATTTTTAAAAAACAAGTCATCATTTTTCCTGAGCATTTTCTAGCAATAATGAGTGCATCATCATTTATGGTATGTCACAAATGCATTGGTAGATATCATACTATAAAGGCAAATAAACCTTATGCTGAAAAACCTTTTTACAATAAATTTAATCATAAACAATATTGTTTATCCAAATGATGAAAATCCAATTGAAACATCAAATAGAATTTCTTACCTTGATGCTT